CCTGCAAATGAATTTTAGCAAAATTGTTTAAAGTGATGTAATAGTAACTTTATTTTGACGGTAACATGTCATCTGAAAAGTACAGATTTCTTAGAAAGGCTTAATTACTGGGTTATTAAAATGGCTTGTCTGAAGCAAAACCAATTTACTTATTCTCTTTCGTTCATTGTGTGCGGTTCAAGATGATGAAAATACAAACTTTAGTGTATTCGAGGATAAAAATTTATTCCAACTTTGATTTTTTATTGAAATGACATCAACTTTATTTTTTTTAATGAAACATTCTGTATATTTTACCACTTTTGGATTCTTTGTTTAATTGTCTTTTAACAAGTTTTAGTACCATGTGCCTAAAACCAACCGTTCGTGAGATATGAGTCAATTAAAAATTTATTAAAGTAGGCAGTGGAAAACAATAATATTAAGTAATGTTGACAAATATTATTACTTTGCATTTTCTCTTATTATTTTTATACTTTTTGGTGTTCTGGTGATAATGTGTTAACAGACATGATTCAAGAATATTTTGAAAGCAATAAAAATAGTTGGAGACCACAACGCCTTTACACTGGGCGGTTTCCAATAAGAGAAGTTCCAATTCGTCGACCTGAAGAAAATTTGAGGATGTTTGGGGTTTTTAGAAAACCCAAATTTGAACAGTTGCGTGCGATAAGCCAACGTTACTTGCAATTTCTTGTATTCATGTTCTTGCATTTTCTTCAATACCTATCTAATTCTGTATCTCTTTGAAATTGGAGATGTTTTAATTTGGGTTTTCTAAAAGCCGAAAACATCCTCAAATTTTCTTTAAGTCGCTTAAATTTTCGACGATTTGGAACGTCTCTCATCAGAAATCACCCAGTGTAAAAGCGTAGTGCTATTTTATTCAAAATGTGTCTGTTAACACATTATCATGTATGATTAACATTAAAAAGTATAAAAACAACAAGAAAAAATGCAAAAGAATAATATTTGTCAACATTACTTGATATTATTGTTTTCCGCTGCCTACTTTAATAAATACATTATTTGGTGAATATCTCACGAACGGTTAATTTTAGGCATATGGTACTAAAACTTTTTAAAAAACAATTAAACAAAGAATCCAAAAGTGATAAAATATACAGGGTGTTCCATTAAAAAAAAAAAAGTTGATGTGATTTTCGGTGAAACAGAAAACGGCATTACTTTAGCATCTATCGTAAACGATAGATGACAAAAAATGTTCAACTTTATTCTAAGAAGTATTGTTATAACTTTAAAAATAATGGAGTTATGGCTTGGGGCGTTTTTCATAATACAGCCTGTATATGCGCATATTTTACGGATTTTTCGTGCATATAATTCGAGCCTTACTCATAAACATCTGCCTTTTCCTCAACTTCCCGATAAATTTGTGTATAAAGGATGTTTAAAATGTTAAACACGTGTCGGGCACGTTTTACAAAACAAAATATACAACTCATGTTTGAAATATTGTTTCATTTTCTTTGTGGCTTGATGACAACTGAGGTTAATTAACCCGAGGCTGTGTTAGGTCAGGAGAGAACGTCTTGCTACTGGAGATACACAAAGTCACCTTCAACAATTATTATTGATCGAAAAAGCTAATAAAATTCTACCGACAACTAGACTACCAGACAAATTTAAAGTCGCCAATCAACAGTTAAAGTGTAATGTGAAAAAATAAGCGGTAATTAATTTATTATCTTTGCACTTCCATAAAAACGCCCACACTAATAAAATAAGTAATCACCCAAAAAAACACACATTTGTAGTCACCTCCGAATAAATTTTATTTACGCATCAAAATCTCTAAAAAAAGAAGTAAAACAGCGAGCGTCCTTTAAATAAAAAAGAAGTCGTTCAAAACACTTAAAATTTGGAATTTATTAGCTTATCTTATATTAAACGTTGCAAATTTCCAATGCCTTTAATTAGTTTAACTGTCTCATCGCATCTTCTGATAATACTTATTTTTTTATGATAAAATCACCGCTAAAATAACTCGCCTAATCTTTCAATTAATCTCCGAGATTAAAACCCACTTATGATCTTTTAATCAGTTTTTTGACTCCTTCAACTGAAAACTACACATTGAAAATTTTAATAAGCCAAAACCGACAATCAACACTACACTTCCTGAAACTCGTCAACCCGTTAAATATTTACGATATTTCCAAGAGCGTATAATTAACGTTTGACTTTCTTCAATTCTCTTTATATTAATCGCGTGGATGGCCCAGATTCATCGCAACAATAAGAAAATTCATTACAGAATAAGTAACCAGCGAGACTCCCACAATGTGTTGTTCGTTCTTCTGATGGTACCCATCATGGTACTCCGATAATGAACTGACTGTTGTCACTTGTAAAACCATTGTTTTATTCCATCATATAACAACAACAACAACACTAAAAAACATCACAACGCGCAACGACTACCAGCGAATGACTGAGCATGGAATGCGTGGTCGTGCTCGAACCTGGTGCTGATGATGTCGATGGTGGAAATTCGCCATGAGAAAAAACTGAAAATGTGATAAAAAATACGAGTGCGAAATATGTGGGGAAAAGTGGGTTAAAATAATCATTTTCACAAATATGTACTCTCCTCACACACCTGGATTCTCTCTCGACAACTTTTCGAAAATGCAAACTCAAGTGAGAAAAATACATTTTACATAAAAAGATAGAGAAAACAACTTTTTGTCGTGTTCTGCATACAATTTTTTCGCAGATTAATTAGACTTAATAGGTCATTTAATACTCTAATAACCCTCATGTCGATTATGTTATTATAAATTTGAATTCATGTCGAAGAACAAGGAATATTTTCTATCGCTTCAAGGTGCACCTCATAAAGTACAAAAATTTTATATTATTTGCTTTCTAACATGTAATAATTTAGAGAGCAACGTGGTAGAATTTTCATTGCTTTAAGCCAAGATGTAAACATTGAAATTTCCTTATTACATTTTATTTACAATGCAATTATTTTTCTTACAACTGAAGTAATTATTTCGTCCAACACAACAAACGTATAAACTCGAAGGTCGACTCGTTCATATTCCAACCTACACACAGAAATATTAAACTGGAAAAACTAACAAAAACCACTTTTTTCATTCAAATCGAAAAATTGTTGACAATTGTACAGTAGACAAATAAACAAATAAGAAAAAATGCCAAACAAAAAAAAAACTTCAACAATAAAACATTTCTCAAGATTTAAGTTTATCACAAGTAATTGCAGGAAAATTATTTTTAATTATCTTTTTTATTTATTCCGAAAAAAATCACGTCTAAATTTTCTTTATCAAACAAAGAATTAATTAAATGACTAACTCCTGATAATCTTTCCTTGAAACATTACTTATAAAATATCACGTTTTTTTATACAAGTTATAAATAACAAGTGGCGTTAAAATACATCAAAATATCGTCAAAAATGCTTTGAAAATTTAAAAACATTTATTTTACGTCTTTGATAACATCAGCACCTGTCCTGTGTTAAATATTGATTTTTTTGTTTTTAAAAATTGTTATGGTTAAAAAAAAATGTTTGTTTAAACAAAGTCGGCTATAACAACTTTCTTAGTAGCATCATAACACTGTTCCACTTACAACCCTCGACGGTATATCTCAAATAATTCAACATTTTATTAAACATAACAATTTAGGCAAGACATACAAATGCAAATTAAATTTTAATTTAAAACTTTATTTTAGAGTGATTTACATTTTTCGTAATTTTTTGAACTGTTCTCATACCTTTTGTTTTGTTTTGTTCTTGTTGTTTTACATTTTTTTCCTTTTTTCTTTCTTTCGCACTTATTCCTTTTTCCATTTTGTATTTCTCACTCGTTTTATTTTTTTAGTTTATTTTCTACAACTTACATCTTCGTTTTTTTGTTGTCAAGTTTTTATCTTGTTTTTTGCTTCTTGCCCGTTTTTTATTTCCTCTCTCTTATTTTTATGTTTTTGTTTTCCCTACTATTTCATCGTTTTTGCCTTTTTATATTTATCATATTTTCTGCTACTTTTTTATGTAATATTTTTCTTCTTTTACATCAAATAATAAAAAAATATTAAACAATTTAAACACAAACCTTTATTTGTATTTAATAACCTTGTAATTTATGCATATGTAAAACAAATTAAAACAATAGTACACAAAATGACATATCCAAGAGACAAAAAGCCAAAACAAATTTACAATAGAGAATGTAGTAAATAGAGAGGGAGTAGGATATAAATAGCAACATTTTGTCTCGGTATTGATTTATGAATGGTTTCAAATCATTGAAACGCAGCAATGCGAAATAAATGATAAATACCGACACTAAATCTAATACTAATTATTTCCAAAGAAATAAGTACTTTTAGACGGCTTAATGTTTGCTATTGGCAGCACTGAATTATTGGTAATTCTTCTCATTTGTCATTTCAATGTTTCAGGTGACGGCTAAATCAGCAATCGCCCGTGGCAAATAAATGACAATTATCTATAAAAGTTTGACGTTTGAATTTGAAAGTCAACGTTGCCAAACTAAAATTTTAAATGTGACACCAACTTGAGGTGAAAAATCACAATAATTTACAGTCATTATAATTACAGATTTTTCCGCCAAATGCTTACACAAATATTACAGAACATTAAAAGATAACCAACTATTAAAGAACCAAATTAATTCGACTGTAAATTAATTAATTAATCAACGAGTAATTTGATCGCCGTCTCATAGACAAGATGTTCACCAACCGACTAATTAGCGAAAGTTGGCGTATTTCTTAGGCCACCCGGTATAATAATGCCCTTATGCCTGTCAAAAATATGCCGGCCACGTGACACTGACAGTGACGTCACTTGGGTCATTCCTGTATAAATAGGCGTTAGTCAGAGAATTTCAGTATTAATGTGTGGGTCGATTGTGTGTTGACAAATTAGGCGTTCATGGACGCGGTGGCGAACAGCTGATCATCGAATGGGGGCTCACCTGTTTGGTGTCGTCCATGTCTTGGGGCTGCGAGGTGCCGCCGTGGGCGACCACTAGGTCTCCGCCGCCGTCGTTGTTAGAGTTTTTCGTGAAAATCTTCGATATTACACTCCACATCCACGGTAAATTCGCACAGAAATATTACTTTGATCGCCAATGTCATCGCCCAGCCTACGCAGCTACGAGACGACTCTGACACGGTTTTGCACTAATGCCGGACCGGTCGACGCGAAAACTTAAAACTACTGATTATTTACAAAGTGCTATCACTCATTTTTCGATATTTATTACACGTAATTACACTTTTATTCACTATTTTACAACTGTCTTTGCACTGACATAACGAAAACCTACGTTACACTATAGCGCCCCTGGCGGTGGACTAGAAAACCCGGCTTGGCGCGAATTTAGAACTCTAATATCCACTGTACGGCACCAACAATAAAAAAACAACAAAAGAGAATCATAGTGTTATCAGCTATGGCAAAAATATACCATGAGCAAGGGGAAATTTAAAATGAAAAGCGAGAAATCGCCCATTTTTGGTGTCTATTGTTAAATAAAATTGACAACCGACAGATGGCACTGCGAATGACAAAATTTAAAAAAATTTTATCAATTAAAATACCCACTTTTAAAATTTAATTTTTTAAAACTTTGTCAATTTATTAATAGAGACAAAATATATGCATTTTTTTACTATAAACAATCGAATGGTAATGGTGGAAACTTGTAATTATTGCTGCAGTTTCCTTTAATTATTTAATGTTTTTAGAGCTATTTTATCAATTGAGAAAATTACACTGAGCATTTTGAATTTTTTACCGTTATTTTAACTTGTATTTACTAAAAATTACAGCAAATTTTTTTAATAATACGCAATTGATAAATTTAAGTTTTCAAGTATTTAAAACAATTTGTTTATTTTTTTAATTTTATACAGTATGATGGAAAAAGGCGCCCATGTTATATCACGTTATAAGTGATCTTTTATTAAAGACGAATTCGAAGACCAAAATTGGATTTGTGCTCTTATCAGTAAGATATAGACTTTCCTTTTTAGAAAAGAGAAATCTATACAGGGTGATGAAAAAAAGGCGCCCACGATTGAAACAGGCGCGTCCTTTTTTATTGAAACATTGTGACCATCATTCCAAAAATAGTCTAAGTAGATTCTTTTTAAAATTTAAACAGTTTGTCTAACAGCACAAAGCGGCAATATTGCACAATTTTCTTTTACTAAAAAACTATTTCACTCAGGTATTTTTCGTATCTAGGAAACCTTTTTGACTTTAATCGTTCAAATTTCACAGAACAAACAACATTGAAAATTCAATTTTTTGTTGCTACCGTTTCCAATAATTGAATATTACTTGGACATTTTCTGTATCCTAGGATATTTGCAATGTTGCAACATTGATAAATTTTCTTTGAGGCCAAGAAATGGTATCCTAACATCTTCAATAAAGTTTATTTCAATAGACTTTTTACACATTTTTTTTAAGAACACCGTCAACAGTATCAAAATCTAGACTTTAACAATGAAATTATTTTAAAACTGTTAATTATATAGATTTTTCTTTTCTAAAAAGGAAAGGCTATATCTTACTGATAAGAGCACAAATCCAATTTTGGTCTTCGAATTCGTCTTTAATAAAAGATCACTTATAACGTGTGGGTTAACACGGGCGCCTTTTTATCATCATACTGTATAATTAACAGTTTTAAAATAATTACATTGTGAAAGTCTAGATTTTGATACAGTTGACGGTGTTCTTAAAAAAAATGTATAAAGTCTATTGAAATAAACTTTATTGAAGATGTTAGGATACCATTTCTTGGCCTCAAAGAAAATTTATCAATGTTGCAACATTGCAAATATCCTAGGATACAGAAAGTGTCCAAGTAATATTCAATTATTGGAAACGGTAGGAACAAAAAAATCAATTTTCAATGTTGTTTGTTCTGTGAAATTTGAATGATTAAAGTCAAAAATTAAAAAAATTAATTGAAATCTTTCTTCGAAATTTTTATAGATAAAATTTTTTAACATTGTTTTTATGTTCCTGGTATCTTACTTTATATGGCATTTTTCTCTGGGACGCGAGTTCTGGCGCATCCTGTATAAATTGCGCAGTCACAATAGCAGAAATGTTTTTTTACATGCCGGAAAGCGCCACCTGGTGGAAAATAAGATATAATTGTTGCAGATTCCTTTAATTAAATTAAATCAAGGGTTTTTGACTCCACAGAAATTACTGTAAAATTCTCTTATTTTTAAATGTATTTATTGACAAAAAATAATAATAAAAACTAACTCTTTCAGTAAAACCACCATTTTTTTATTATTTTTGTAAAAATAGTTAAAACTGTACAATTTCATCAAAAAATCAATGACACCCGCAACTTTTAACAGCCATATTACTATACTTCTTCAGCACAACATTGCTAGTCCCTGCGTCCAAATAATAAACAAGAGGAATCGGTGCCAACTCCGTGGGTGCACAACACGGCTTCGGGAACCTCTTAGGTTGAATCAAATGCACCAAACTCTGAACTAGAGCATGTTTTGTGGCGTTCATATGGGCAGTCAGAGGAAAATTGCACTCGCCGGCGCAATAATAAGCCGCATATCCTTCAGGCGCTATTACCCAGTCCTGAAAACCCAAACAAACTGAAAAACTACCCTAAAATCACCCAAGGGCGGATCCACCAATGCCACCAAAAGCTTCAATTCTTTATATTTAAATAAAAACATTAGAATTCTTTTTAAATCACACTTATTAATACAAATCATACATATACCGAGAGATCAAAATAATTTGTAATCATTTTTGGATCCGAAAACGTACAGTTGCGGAATTAAAATTTCGGGCAGTAGGTACTGTCATTTTCATAATGTAAACTCTAAAACAACCTTTATAATATTAATAACCTAATTTTTTACTGTTGTCATGATGACAGTAAAAAGTAATATAGTGAACTTTTTAAAGTGACAGAAAAATAGGTACTGCCCGAATTTTTAATTTCGCAACTGTATGTATGTCTGTTGTTGAACTAACTGCAGGTGAAACGTCAAATAAAATGACAATTCGAAAACGGCAAAATGGGCTGGAATTAGTCGCCGATGTATAATAATAAGACCGTACTTTTTTGAAGGTAAATCATAAATTTAGTTATCTTTTGGATCATCATTTTATTTAACGTTTCACAGACATACGCACAGGACATACGTTTTCGGATACAAGGACAAATTATCTTGATCTCTGGATACTTATTTAGTTTTTGCTAATTTAAAAAGAAATCATCAATTGTAATTTTCTTTGGGCCACATCTTAGGTATCTAATTAAATTAAATTTATATCTGTTTGAATAATGAACTTTACCAACTCGCTAGAACACCTTATACACAATTTTCAACTTGTTTTAAAATTCTACACTTTTTGGTTTTTGGGTAATGACAGCAGCGATATTTTTTTTTAATGGAAACCCCTAATTTTTTTAGCGAATTCGATAGATTTTTTAATTGTCCAAATGGCAACACCAAAATATTATGTATTACATAAAGTTTTCAAAAAAAAATATCCAAAAAGTGAAATAATATCAATAAAAAACAAAGGTAGAATTTTAAATCAAGTTAATAGTTATTTATTGTAAGAGTGTGTTAGCTAGCGTTTTATCCACGCAAGAATGTTTTCTTAAGTGGATAAAATGCGACTAACACACAACTGCAATATAACGCTGTATCCACAATCACAGGCCCAAATTATTAACTTGATTAAAATTATAACTTAATTAAAAATTAAACTGACATTTAAACGTCACACCAAATGTGCTTACGCGGTGCGCTGGTTACTAACAGTGGAATAAAGTTACTTTATTCCACTAGTGGATAAAGTGGTACTTTATACGCATATAAAGTGTGGAATAAAGTCTCTTTATAGAGTGATTGTGGATAAAATTTTTGTATTTTTTAAAAAGAAAATTGACCTGTTCGAGCATTTTTCCAAAACAAAATATTTTCAGTTTTAATAAATAAGATTATTCTACAGGGTGTTCCGTCTAAACCCCTAAAGTATTGGGAGTTGGAATAATTGTATTTATTTGAAAATTGGTACATAGCCATAAACCACTAAGTCCTCCTAAATGAAAATATTATCAAGATGGCGGAACTTCCGGTTATACCGGAAGCCGGTCTCAACTTTGTTATTTTAAATAGAAAGGTATATTTTTTACTGCGTTTTTGGATTAATCGGGTTACTTTAAGGAAGTTTTTCAAAAATTTTTGGATTTGCACCTTCCACTTTAAAAACCGGTAACTCTGCCATTTTTTAAGATTTTAAATTCGTTTTTTGGGCGTTTGAAAGAGAAAGCTTAGATCCTTTTTCTGGTGTTTTCAAATTTTGAAAAAAAAATAACATATCCCAAAATTTTAAGGTTACTTTTGTAATAATTCAAATACTCAAAACAGTAAATTACTATTTGACAAATAGTGCCAAAATATGGAGAATCAATGTAATGCAAACTTAATTATTATTGATAGGTTCTACCATGCAATCATTATTTAAAGCTAACAAGTGAGAAAAATTTATTTTTGTTTAATGAACGATATCATAATTTTTTTACACTCTCCATAAATACAAATAAATTAATTAAATCTAAGTTTGAGTAGTTTTGACTCTTCATATTTTGGCACTATTTGTCAAATAATAAGTCATTGTCGACGTTTCTTGAGAAACAATTTTGACATTTTTGATTTCCATAGAAAACTATACGAAAAGGAAAAGGCTAATAACAGATTTTCGGCAGTCTCAACAAAAAGTCACCATAACTTAAAAATTAATAAATTTAGGTATAGGGAATGTAAATACAAATCGATGCAGAATTAAATTCTCTTCCATTTAGTAAAATAAAAATTGGGGTATTTCATTTGGAAAAATTGAGTTATGGGTATTTGAATTATTACAAAAGTAACCTTAAAATTTTATGGTTTGTTATTTTCTTTCAAAATTTGAAAATGCCAGAAGAAAGATCTAAACTTTCTCTTTCAAACACCAAAAAAACGAATTCAAAATTTTAAAAAATAGCAGAGTTACCGATTTTTAAGGTGGAAGGTGCAGATCCAAAAATTTTTGAAAAACTCCAAATATTTCAAAAATGACTAAATTTAGGTATAGGGAAAGCTGATGAAAACTCCCTTAAAATAACCCGATTAATCCAAAAACGCAGTAAAAATATACCTTTCCATTTAAAATAAGAAAGTTGAAACCGACTTCCGGTATATCCGGAAGTGCCGCCATCTTAAAAATATTTTCATTTAGGAGGATTTAATGGTTTATGGCTATGTACCAATTTTCAAATAAATACGATTATTCCAACTCCCAATACTTCTAAAGTGGGATTTAGACGGAACACCCTGTATAATTTTGCCGCTCACTGTATACCTTCATCATTCTAAAATATTTTAGATAGCCCCCTCCAAAATTAATTCCTGGATCCGCCCCTGATTAATCACCCACCAATACATACCTGCCACTTCAAGTCCTTGAAACTTATATACAGGGTGTGTATGCGACAACTGGTTCCGTGTTGGTGCTTCATGACTGAAACATAGTTGTGTTTCGCACTCAACGCACGAACGCTTCTTCGCGGCTGGACGCGCGTGGGGGCTTTGAGAAAAGCGACGATGAAGGGGCTCGTCGAGGTGGCCAAACCGATGTCTTCGGGGCGGATTTCCCGACCCGGCTTCTCGACCGGATAAACCGATAAATAAAGCCCCTTTTGTGCACCCCAATTGGTCGCACAAGAAGTCAGATTTAAACTCAACCACCCTTGGTAATCCCCGGTGGTGATGACTGAAGAAACGTACTGAAAGCGGCGCCCCTGGTCCACCAACTCGTAAACCACGACTGCATAAACCGACTTTTTCAGGGCCCCTTTTTGGTAAAGCTTCAGTTCGGCGCTGAGCAAGGTTTCAGCGAGCGACATTTCAGTCACGTTGAACCAAAGTTTTTTGCCCTTTTCGCGTCTTTTGGGGTTTTTTGAAATGGGCGAGAAGGTCATAATTACGTCGCTGTTTTCAACAACAGTTTCCTCTTCACTCACACTTCGTTTCCTTCTGGAATGGCCATCACTTTTCTCCATTAAAGTGTTGTAAATGTTTAAAATGTACTTGGCCGCTGATTTTGTGACCGAATTGTTGACTTTTTTCGGCCGGTTTGGGAGCCCCAGAAGGTTTAAAATCTCCAATTCGATTTCGGGGCCCTTGAAGCGGCTGACTGAAGTCTGATCAACCCCATTATCGAGATAAACAACAGTTAAAACCTCGCGAAACACTAGACAAAACACGAAACTGATTTTCATGATTACTGAAGCTTGAAAAAGAAAGTACTGAAGCTGGTGGGTTGAGGGTGAGCTTAAATAGTTTCAGGATTAGAAAGTTGGTCATTAAGTTTATTAAATCAAAATATACTACTAAGAGGGCCCCTAAATGACACAGCCACTTTTTAAGGAAAGCACCCCGATTTTCAAGAGTTAACAGAAAAGCAGAAAAAATCGTGAAAACACCCCCGTTTTTAAGGTTTTATTTCGAAATTAACATTTTTCAAAGATTTTACCTTGTTTTTAAGGTATATTTTTTAAAAAACAGATATTTCAAAGATTCTGTCCTGTGAAATTGATGTAAAAACAGTATTTATTAATAAATTAGGATTATATGCGATTTTATTCAATTTTGACATTATAAAAAGAAAAATGTCATATAAAGTAAGATACCAGGAACATGGAAAAAATGTAAAAAAAATTTTATCTATATAAAATTTGGAAGTTATGAGGGTTTAAATTTTGCACTTTGACTCTATTTACTTCTGTAGGAAAAATAATTTTCCAAGTTTTTTTGCTATGGGCTATTAAAAGAGGAAACAAGGAAGCTGTATCCTAAATTGTAGCTCTGTTCAATGTTATTTGTGGCTTTTATTGGCAAAATTTTTGTTCCTTTACTAAATAATTGTAAAAAAAACATACAGGGTGTTCCGTTTTTATTGTTACAAATTTAAGCAGGTGATAGGATATTCAATTCTAAGACAAAAGTTTCCTATAAACATGTATCGAAAAATGCTTGCTAAGGGAGCTGGAAAGGGGCTAATATGTTTTTGCTAATATTTCAGAAACGATTTAAGATAAAATTACAAAATTTAGTACAGTTGATAATCTTTATACACCTAAACGAATTCAAACATCAAATGTCGAAATTTTTAATCAGGGGCGTACGAAACTGGGGGAGTTTAGGGTAAAAAAATACCCTATTTATTTTGGCTTTAGTTTCTCGGTACTTTCAGCAACAAAATCTTAAGTTCGATAGTTTATCACAGAAAAGTCTCTCTTGTGTCGATACGACTTATTGTTTTTGAATAAAATTAATTTAAAATTTATGTTACACATCATCAATACAACATTCAAATAAATCAGAATTTACAGAATAACATAAGCAAGAAATTCATATTTTTTAATCAACCTCAACTAATTGACATTACATTACAGTAACAATAATAACATTAATTAAATGAATTTGCCTAAATCTAAAAGAGTTGTTCAAAGTGACCACCATTTTGGTCAATGTATAATTAAATAAACCAGAGCCAAAATAAATAGGGTATTTTTTTACCTTAAACCCCACCAGTTTCGGACGCCCCTGATTAAAAATTTCGAAATTTGATGTTTGAATTCGTTTAGGTGTATAAAGATTATCATCTGTACCAAATTTTGTAATTTTATATTAAATGGTTTCTGAAATATTAGCAAAAACCTATTAGCCCCCTTTCAGGGGGTGTAGCTCCCTTACCAAGCATTTTTCGATACATGTTTATAGGAAACTTTTGTCTTAGAATTGAATATCCTATCACCTGTTTAAATTTGTAACGATAAAAACAGAACAGCCCTGTATACAAGATCATCAGTATCCTTAAATAGACATAAAAAAATGTCAAATGTCAAAAAATAAATGTAAAAATTTTTTGACAGATAGAATTTTTCAAACATTTTTTTCATGTTTCTAATATCTTACCTTACGCGAGTTCTGGCACACCTGTATAAGCAATCTAATATTCACTAGTGAATTAAAACGTTTTAATTCACTAGTGATTTAAAAATTATTTCACTATTTCACTAATAGTTATTTATTCGACGAGTTTGAGTGTAAATCGGACTCATCTTTATTTGACCGAGTGGATTTCTAAACCACGAGTGTAACGAGTGGTTTAGCATCCACGAGGTGGAATAAAGCGTCCGATTTACACTCAAACGAGTGGAATACAACATTTTATTCTTCGAATTAGAGTCAACAAGGCTTAAACTTGCTTTAAATCTGTTAAAAATAATTTGACTTTTTGTATTGAGAAATGCCAAATAGTTGTCAAAACTTCCTTACACGGGAGAAAAACCGTAAATTTTGACAGTGTCGAAGAATAAAAAAACTTTAATGAATAACAACAATTATTTTTATTTAAAATAAATAAATAAATGTTACAATTACTAACGCCACTGAAATTTACAGCCTCCAAAAACTCCCACAATTAGAACCACTTTTTGCAGCAAATATTCATAAGAACCTTTCCATTTCTTCGAATCTGAAGACTAGATTTCTTTGATCTAGCCCTACAGAGTGTTGTTTTAGGAAAGTATCTACAACAATTATTTAATAGTTCAAAACTTATAAATAATACCAACCTCACAAACCTGCTTATGTCGATATTTTCTTTAAGAAATAACATTTTCTTTAGTTGGAAATAATACGCCCAAAATGACGAAGATTTCGCATTTTTAGATCGTTTATGTTTAGATTTTACTGGCACCACTTTATTTATAGCTTCTGAAGCGTCTTGAATGACCAATTCAGGCACAAAAACTTGGTTTTCCTCTTTATAATCGCATATTTCAGCCATTTTTATCATATGCGATGTTATTCAAGAATTCTTGTATTTATTTGATGATTTTGTTTAAGGGTAATTACATATAATATTATTATAGATTTATTTATAAATAAAATATCCAAAATTCATGGAAGCATGATATCTATTTAACTATCTAGTTTATAAATTTTCTTAATAAACATTGAAACAGCAGGTAAATAATAGCCAACTTTTTTGTATATCTTTATCATTTACAGACAGCACAAAAATGGAACAAAAACGTTTCGGTGTGAAGATAAGCCTCTTGAACGAGTTAAGACTTTTTCAGTCAGTGTTAAAGAAGAAAAGAAAAATGTTTTACATAGTAGATCTAACCTCAAATGCTGGGACACAGACCCAGGTTCAAATATACACCGGGGAGAATATTGTGCTTATTCCTCTTCCAGGGTTTGCTCCATTTGCAGTGAGAAGGCAAGATTACAGAGATAGAGGACCTCTTATAATTTCCCTTGTGGTTGGGGGATTGTGCGACATCACAATAAAATTTGAATCAGAAGAGGAAAAACGGGCATTTAAGAGGGACATGTTAGTAAAAGCAATCAACATTATGGTTTTAATTTTACTGATTTTTTCTACTCTCACATCTAAGTGACCTTTTATCACAGACCCTTTTATACACACCTTAACAAACCGTGACTTTTACGCGTATTAGTCACGTTGCTAATAGCAACTGTCATATTAGTCACGGGCTGAAGTTAGTTTTCTGTAATTCTAATTATTTTCGAGTGTGAATCTGGCTTCACGAAACGAAAATGTTGAGGGAAACGCGGGCAGCAAATTTTTGGTCGACTGTAATTGAAATTTTGCCCTCTTGAAAAATATTACTTATTGCTAACTCATCTTCACTTTCATTTTCATTCATTTTTCACAAGCCGCAACCCCGTCGAAATGACAACTGACAGAAAGCACCTCCAGTGAAGTAGAGATGGGAAAAAATATCAATGTTTTCTAAACATCGAATATTGGTATGTAAAAACATCGATTTAAAAATGTAAGTATTTTTTTAAATATCGATGTTTTTACTTTGATACATCGAAATTGGTTCAGTTAATTATTTTTAATTATCTTTAATTTTAAAATTTAAATTCGATGAATGTAGAATTCGATGTTTTTCAAGAAAATTAACGATGATGAAGTAATGTGGGTGGTTAAGTTTATGTTTTATGTATTTGTTTTTGTTTTATGCAAGAATTGTAAGAAAGAAATATGTTTGTATTTATTTGTATTATTTTATGTTCCAAAAATTTATTATTAAAAAAATTGGTCAATGATTTTTTTTTCAATAAAAAACATCGATTTTTTTAAGTTTCGATGTTTTGTGGCAATATATATTACATACATCGATGATTTCTTATCCGATCATCGATTCACAGAACATCGATATATATTTTTCGATGTTCCCATCTTTACGGTGAAACTAGCAATAAGTAATATCACAGATTATATAATCTGTGGTAATATTTTTCTTGCTGGCAAAATTTAAATTACAGTCGACCAAAAATTTTCTGCTCGCTCCACAAGGCGTTTCCCCCAAGATTTTCGTTTCGTGCAGCCAGATTCACACTCGAAAAATTATTAGAATTACAGAAAGCTAACTTCAGCCCGTGACTAATATGACAGTTGCTATTAGCAACGTGACTAATACGTATATAAGTCACGGATTGTCAAGATGTGTATAAAAGGTCACTTAGCAAATGGAAACATACGATAATCCGTGTTTTAGATGTGGGAGTAGAAAAAAAAAATGATGTGTGTTGAGGGGGCCTTATATCTTTGATTTTTTATTAAAATTTTGTTCAATGGGTTGATTTCTAGATCATTAAATTTGAACTGTTGTGCTGAACAGACCCATCAACATGAGTTTGTATAGCATACCTTCTACCTTATAAAAACAGGGTAAAATCATTAAAAAAAACAAAGTGTTCTGAAGGGGTAAAATCCTTAAAAGCCAAAGCAAAATCGCATATAATCCTAATTTATTAATAAATACAGTTTTTACATCAACTTATTTCACAGGACAGAATCTTTGAAATATCTGTTTTTAAATATACCTTAAAAACAGAGTAAAATCTTTGAAAAATGTTAATTTTAAAATAAAACTTTAAAAACGGGGGTGTTTTCACGATTTTTCTGCTTTTCTGTTAACCCTTGAAAATCGGGGTGTTTTCCTTAAAAAGTGGCTGTGTCATTTAGGGGCCCTCTTAGTAGTAAATATGTACAAAAATATATATACACGGTGATTCACGAGGAATAACGAGCGTGACCAAATTTTGCGACAACTGTAATGTTGGTTGCATCGAAAATTTCGTCAGGCTCATTATTCCTCATGAATCACCCTGTATTTACAAGTTGCTAATGGCACCCGCAGCTCTTGACCGACATTTTCTTGTACTTTTTCAGTATGACGTTTGTATCGTCCTGAAAATAGAGCACTGAAATGGGCGTTAACTTCGTTGGGGCACAACACGGCTTGGGGAACTTGTTGGGGTTCATCAAGTGGACCAAAGTCTGGACGATGGCGTGGTTAGTGGCGTTCATGTGGCCGTTGAGGGGGAATTTGCATTCCCCGGCGCAGTAGTGAGCAGAGTATCCTGTAGGAGCGATGATCCAGTCCTGGAACAAAACTGAAATAACACAGGGCGACAAAAAAAAAGTCATGTCGTGACAACTTGACAAATTTTATATCATTTTGTTCGTCTCAGTGAGACAAATCAAATGCACTAAAAAAAATTCAAAAAGTCCACACACTTTGAACTAAATATTTTTTTTCTAATTTAAATGAATTTAAAATACTTTAACTTTAAAAAATCATTACTCAATAACTATTAGGCCGATTTTTTTTCAAATAAAGACCATTTTAAAGGGATGGACTTGCCCTTTAGAATGATATGCAATTTGAAATTGAATATTGGCAAACTTTTCTTCGAACAGTGTTCGAAAAAGTTCGAAGTAAATCGAAGTAATCTAAGAAAAACCCTACGAGTAATTTTTTTTTCTTCGCCACCATCGTGTAGAGCATCTTTTTATTAGTATTAATCCAAATTTTTAAAATAATATACCGAGTGGTTTTTAAGATATGATTTTTTGAAGTTAAGGTTTGCTATTCAGGTATTGTGCCARATAAGAGAAATGCATGTTAATCTTACTTAAAATTGCATTTTTATAAAAGTATTTGTTTTAAGACTCTTCTTTTGCTTAAAAATGGTCAGTTGCACCTTCTTTGTTCTAATTAGAAT